TCTTTCTTTCTTTCTTTCTTTCTTTCTTTCTTTCTTTCTTTCTTTCTCTCTCTCTCTCTTTCTTTCTCTCTTTCTCTCTCTCTTTCTTTCTCTCTTTCTCTCTTTCTTTCTCTCTTTCTCTCTCTCTCTCTCTTTCTTTCTTTCCTTCTTTCTTTCTTTCTTTCTTTCTCTTCCTTTCTTTCCTTCCTTCCTTCCTTGCTCATCTCTCCCTCTCCCTTTGTAGTCACACGGCCTAGCATCGCAGTTCGTTGTGAGCAGCAGCCGCCGCTGCCCCAGCTGCCGTGGCCACCGCCGCCGCCGTGGCCGCCGTGGCCGCCGCTCCCGCCGCCGCTGCCCCCGCCGCCGTGGCCACCGCCGCCTGCGCCTCCTCTGCCGCCGCCTCTGCTGCCGCTGCCGCGGCCGCCGCCGCCTCTCCCGAGTCAGGTGACGGAGCCGGACTGGGAGGAGCCGGGAGCGCGTTGGGCCCGGAGCTCTGACACACGTACCATTCGCTCAGGTTCGCCGCCCGCGACGAGGCGCCCGGCTCCGCGGGGGCTGCAGCCGAGCCCGGGGGGTCCCGCCCGGAGTCCGAGGAGGGTGACACCAGGGAAGGGGTGGAGGAGTCGTAACCCGAGCTCGGAGGAGGAGACTTGCAATGCACTTTCATGTGTTTCCTCAAGGAGCTGGGGTGCGTGTAGGATTTGTCACAGCCTCTCACTTTGCAGTTGTACGGCTTGTCGCTGGTGTGCACGTGAGAGTGTTTTTTCCTGTCGCTGCTGTTCGCGAATCGTCTGTCACAGCCTTCAAATTCACATTTGAATGGTTTTTCTCCTGAAAGAATGCAATTAACGATTACATACATTAGTTAGGGGGTGGGTTGGGAGCCTTCCTCCCTCTCTGTCTCTGTCTCTCTGCAAAACAAAAAACAAAAGAACCCCCCCCCAAAAAAAAGAGGGGGAGGAGAGAGAAGAAAAGAAAAACCTTCCACATGGCCCCAGGACTTTCAATCTCCCCCTCCTTCTTCCCCTCCCCCAATGGAACCAGCTCACATCCCTTGATAAATAGAGATCTATTAAGCACTCCCCACCCACCCCCCAACTCTAAGGTTTGGGAATTGGGAGCTTGGGAGAAGGGGATAGAAAGAGAAGGTGACTCCATCTTAGTTTGATTTCCATCGTCTAAAATCCCAATGGATCCATCTCCGCCCCCCCCCTTGAGTTTCCAAAATCCATTCTCCTGAACGGAGCCCACTTTACACCGTGAAAAAATATTGGCAGTGAAGCCAGAAACTACCCAATTTAAAGTTGTCCTTAGACCCAAACGCCTTCTTCCTCCAGTCCAAATTGTTTTCTAAAGTGGGTTTTGTGCAAATGACAAAGCAGTCAGATAATTTAAAGACCAACTGCAGTTGCACACTGCGTGTAAACAATGTGTATTCTGTCTTCGGGGAAAGGTATTCTGAGCTCCTCAGTGGGCAATGATTCACTTCTGAGGCTGTTTTCACATGAAATCCATTTTTCCCCCTCTCTCGTCTACCCCCTGAGGGAAAACATTTAGCAGCATTCTTCAAATCTTTCCTAAATAATCCTCTATCTCTCTATACTGGAATGCATGTAATAATATTTTATTATATGGGTTACAACGGCCTCCCGAAGATATTAACATGTGCTACTTGGTTTTATTGTCAATAGAGTGTTTAAAAGACAGATTGGTCTCCACTAACCGCTGAAGGCAAGATTTTAAATGCTCTAAGTCCTAAGCAGAGGTGAAGGGGCCAGCCCTCCCTGTTGTTAGAGATAGAGAGAAGGCCTTGCATTGAATTAATATCTCCTTCATAGATGGGGAGGCAATTCTATTAGGGCCAAGGTTGCCCCCCAAACTATCACAATCAGGCCAGGGCCCACCTTCATAGAAGCACAAACAGAAATCCTATACTCTGGAGATTTAGCAAGGGATTTTCTCAGCTTGGATGCATAGATGTGCCCAGGAGCCAAAATAAGACCTGTAGAACCTATTGGCAAAATAATGTACCAAATAAGGGTCAGTTAGGTACTGATTTATTCTCACCCCACCACCAAAAAGTGTTTCCTAATCTGCAACCTATCTAGTCTCACAGTCAATGCTGCCAAATCAAGTAAGGTGTGTGACTGAAGCACTTAAATATAACTGGGTGCTATATGGTGCCAAAGGTTATTATACTGTGTGTAGAGACTGTATGCTATCAATGAAGACCAGCCCCCATCCTCAAAACCCCCATTCCCCATCTCATCATAAAGCCAACTCCAGGAAAAATAAAAACATGCCCCCATGAAATGATCTAGATTTGGTGATGATGTAAACAAAGCCTTACTCAACAAGATAGACTTCTAAGGGAGAGAGACTTAGAGTGTTTGTCTATCTATCTATCTATCTATCTATCTATATCTATCATCTACCTGCTTTCCTATCTGCCTATTCATCTATACATCTGTATGAATGTAGGCTCTGAATGAATCTGGGCCTATACACTTGCTTCACATGAAAATGAATGTCTTTTGAAGAATACCAGCCCTGGACAGTTCTTCCCCCTGAAATTTACTTTGTCAATGTTTCTCTCTTCCCCCCACCCCCCACAACAGTGCCTTTCATTTTTCATTTATCACACAACAAACCCTCTTTTTAGGGGAAAAAAAAAGATGACAGAATAAATCAGTATCATCACTGTCAACATGTTCTCCCTTTCTCTCCCTCTCCCCTACTGGTCCAATTCTAATGGATGACCAAAAAACTTCATCTTTCCTTTTCTTAAAAAAAAAATCGTTTAGAAAAATGACACAATCAAGGTCCTGCAAAGGAAGAAAGAGCTTCACTGAGAAAACAGATCGGGGAATTATAAAGGCTATATTTTCTCCCACCAGAATAAAAAAAAAATTTTCTTATGACTGCCTAATTAGAGTTTCACATAAAGAAACAATGATTTGACCTCCGGCCTTGGAGTCAAGTCAACAATGAAGGAAGGATATTAGGGTAGTACAAGCAAACGGTAAGTTAGGAGGCCCTTGGGAAAGAGGACCCGTAAAGCCAGTGCCGGAGCCGGGGGTGTTACGTGGTAGGTAAGGAAGACAGGCCCAGCGGAGTGGCTGCAGCTTATTCTTTCTCTGGAGCTCCAAGCTCTCGGCCCCAATGGCCCTGGCTCCTTCTCCTTTGGACCCCGCAGCCAGTCTGCCGGTCCTTGCCCAGTAGTGTTGGCCTCGGTCTCGGCTAGGGTCGAAGGTCCGGGAAGTGTCTCTGTCCGGCTCGCTAGCTCTGAGTCGGCCTGAGAACCGAGAGAGCAAATGAACGCCGAGCGTAGTCTAGGGGAGCAGCTCTGGCCTTCAGAGAGCGAACGCAGGGCGTGGATCCTCCGAGCAAGGCTTTTGAAGAGCTCAGCTGCACGCCGATTTGGGGATCCTGCTCCTCCCTCCCCTGCTGGGATTTCATAAATGTCCCTGGCCGAGCAAACTGGCCAGGGAAGCGGAGCCAGGACGTCCCCCTTTGGGGCTCAAGGGACCCGCCTCCCGCTGCAAGCTGCCGGGCCAAGTTAGGAAGTCTGGGGCGGCCCCTCTGCAACCGCCATTTTATAGCACACTTGTAGCTGGGCACAAGTATTTAGAAAGAAATTCCACTCGGTCGGTTTTATTTTTCCTGCTCTACGGGGCTCCACCTAGAGATTTTTACGTTTGGCTACAGGAACAGGGGGAGGGAGGAGAGATCCTGTAGGAGGGAAGGTTAGGGGCCTGAGTTTCAGGAGGCAAGATTAGTGCCTGAGAAAACCAAAGCTACAGCGCCGAGCAGGGCTAGGGTCTCCCTTCTTTCTCCTCCCCTCCCCGATCTCCCTATTGTTCCTGCTGCCTCCTTCTAATCGCCACAAGGTAAAGCAAACCCTTCAGTGCTGGCCAGGTTAAAGTGCCTTTAGGTTAGACCCCCTAATTGTAAGACAGAAATTCTCTGAATCTCAGGAAATCACTGCTTTTCACTACTTCCCCGGACTGGAGGAAATGAAACTTCATTAATATTTGAAAAGGCAATTATTTTCCTGTTGAATCTAGAACTGTCTTCATGAATAATTTGTAGAGAGTTCTATTGCAATTTCAGAAACATTTTGTTTTTTTGACAACTTAGGGTGTTTAATAGAAACGCGGGAACAGGCAAGGCCCTGTAGGATTTTTACTCGGCGCGGTAATTAATCACAATGGAAGTTGAAAGTGAAAAGTGAATACTGAGAAAGCCGAACCTGTGCTCACTGCGAGGCCCTGAACTAGCTTCTTTGCTGTAGGTCAATTTCACTAAGAATTTAACCATTTTCTGCTTCAGAGACTTCAAACAGTGGGCCGGTAAAGAGCAGTAAAAGTTTGTTTACTTAAGGAACACGTTGTCATTAAGGATGAGTTGCCCCGTTAATGACTCTTTCTACCTGCTCAGAGTCGACAAAAAGGTAGCAGAGGTGTTATTCTTACCACTTGGAGCGTAGGTGTTTCTTTTTAACCCCTGAATCAAAATAACACTGGAGACGTTGTGGTGTTTCCAGGGTCTGAGTAGACACTAAAAAGATCTCAGAGTTGAGACCCTGTAAAATAGCCAGCCCAAAAAAAAAGATGCTGCCTTCAATTAAGCGAAGGAGTCAAGAAGGTACTAAGCTGGGTTCGCGCAGGGAAAAGAGAGCGGAGGAGGGAATGGACAAAAGTTCTACCTAGCATTCTTCAGGTCTATAACTCTGAGTAGGTTCAACGCATGAGACCTACCCTGGAAAGAAGGGGGAAGTTTGAAATCGTTCTTTGAAGAAGTAAGCAATGTCGATAGCTAGTAAGACTTCTAATAATGAAACTGTAAGTTACTCTATAAAATAGAGGTGATGCAGTAGTAGGGGTGGATAGGAAAATAGAAAAGGGGGGAGGGGAAGAACAACTATGTTGGAATAGATTTCATTCTCTCTTCTCCCTCCCCTTTTCTCTCTCCCTCCCTCCTGTTTCCTCCCTCTAATCCCCCCTCCCCTGAAAAACGGGGGAGGGGAGGTTACTGGTACTCGAACAGAAAAAAACTTAACAGCTAAAGAGACTACAAATACCGGCTGCTAAACTAATTAATACAACTTCACAGGCTGTTCCGGGAGGTGTGAAAACTTTCTCCTTGCAATTTCATTAATTATAGATGCTTCTGGCCGGAGGAGTTTAAGCTTTGCAGGATCTTCCATCCAGCGACTTTCCTCTCTGTTAACTAGAACTAACAGATGTGTTTGACACATGTCCCCATTTCACTTAACAGTTCTGTAAATGACATTTCAAGCAGATAGGCCCAATTGTTCCTAGGCTCTGGCTAGAGGTGAGGATTCACAAAATGCGTGGGGTCTGTTGCCTCTGCAAGTCTGAAAAAGGGAGGACTTCGAAATCCAGATACATATGGTTCTGCAAAGGTCCCCTAACATCATTTTCATTTCTGAACCCCAGAGCAGGCAGCGGTGAGAAAGAATCACCAATTTAAAGGGAGGAAGAGTTCAGCCACAGGAGTGTGGAAAAAGTTAGAGGCCCATTGTTCACTCTTCAACTGGGAGCTTACCAAACGGATATGATTTTTAAAACGCTTTCATAAACCCTAAAATATTGAAATCATGTGAACACAGAACGCATACAAAGGGACACACATACTCACTGCCCACCCTGACCCTCCCTTATAACAGAAACATTGTAGCAACTCCCTCAGCCTCCAAAACTTGAATGAATCTAAAAATAGAAAAATTGAATTAATATTTTATGAACTTTGGCACATGGGAAAACAAAAATACAAAAGTTGAAACCTAAGGAAACCAAACACTGAGGGTACACAAAATACACCGCTTGCTTTCATCATAGTTGCTGAACAAGATAGAGAGCGATGAATACTGACCTGTGTGAGTTCTTTTGTGTATTTTGAGATTTTCTGATCTAGCAAACACTTTCCCACACCCCGGGAAAGGACAGGGGAAGGGCTTTTCCCCCGTGTGCACTCGGATGTGGTTTACAAGTTTGTATTTGGCTTTGAAAGGTTTCCCCTCTCTCGGACACTCTTCCCAGAAGCAGATGTGATTGGACTGCTCCGGGCCGCCAACGTGCTCCACCGTGACATGAGTTACCAACTCGTGCATGGTGCTGAAAGTTTTGTTGCAAAGTCTTTTGGGCGCTTGCTCCACCTCGATCCACTTACAGATGAGCTCCTGCTTGATGGGCTGCCGCATATAGCGAAAGAAGGCTCCGGGGCCGTGGTGGGGAGCTAGGTTCACGTTCAGGTTCATGCCCCCGTAGTTATGCAGAGAAGCTGCAGCGAAAGGATCTGTCCTGGAGGCGGGCACTTGAGTGAAATGCTCGGACCTGGCGTACATGTCTCCAGGTAGCCCCAGTCTTATCTGTCCGTTCAGATGGCCACCTGGGGAGGCCTGGGGAGGCGGCTCATGGAGTCCAGAGAAAAGAGAGTGATGCCCAGCTTCGGGGTGGTGGTGGCCATGGTGTCCAGAATAGCTACCTGTTGTTGAGACAAACATTCCGTGGTGAGAATTGGGAGCAGGGGGCTGCTCACTTAGCCCTGGCATCATGGGGGCTGGCAGATCTCTGCGTATTAAGAAGTCCCTACTTGCTGTAAGCGCCTGAGCGGGGTGGGAGACAGGGTAAGGGATAGCTGTTGAAGGCACTGGGCCAAACGCTCCGTTTGGACTACCGACCACCTCAGCGTGGCCTCCTGCCATAGAATGAGGAGGTGGAGGAGGTGGAGGAGGAGGAGGAGGAGGAGGAGGAGAAGGATGGTGGTGGTGGTGGTGGTGGTGGTGATGATGATGATGTTGGTGTCGGTGGTGGGGATGAGGATGATGGGCAGGGCTGAGTTTGAGGGCCGAGGGATGATGGTGGTGCCCCATGTGTTCGGCTCGGAATGGACTCGGCCCTAGGCGGGATTCAGCAGCGTACTCCCCAGGGTGCGAGGGAGCCATTGAGTGGGGGTGACCGGCGAACCCCGGGAAGCCTGTGACGCTCTGTGGGGGATGGTGGTGATGATGGTGGTGATGGTGATGATGAGTCCCTGCCAAGTCAACTAATCTCAGCGCCGGGTTCCGTTTGGAGAGTGCAGCTGGTTCCATCACTGGGCTCCCCAAAGCCTCCACACTCATGGCTTCTAACGCTACAGTCACCTGACAGCGGGGAGGAGGAAAAGAAAAAAAAAAAAACTTTTGCAAAGTTTTTTTTCAAGTTTTGGCTTTTTTTTTCCTTTTTAATGCCTACGTGGAATCCCATACGCTTGAGAGGCAGCAGCAGGACGCAGGGAGATACTGAATAGAGATTCATGGACACGGCTGCAGCCCAGAGAGCTAAACAATTACCCCACCCTCTGATTGGCCGGCGCCGAATGATTGACGTCATTGATGACAGGTCCTGCTGGAGACTGAAAGGCTTTAAGCTGGAAGGGGAAACACACACACACACACACACACACACACACACACACTCACACTCATTCATACTGCACATGCGCCACGACTGGGGCACTAATTCTTTTCTTTCTGTCTCCCCTCTCCCCTCCCCCACGTCCATTCTCAAAACAGTTTTGGTTTTGTAGCATTCTTTAAAAAAAAATTTTTTTTTTGAATCATGCCTGGTATTTTCATTAAGAACATATATTTTTAAAGGCTTAACTGACAGATTCAGATCTGCTCCCATGTCCCCTGGCTAAGCCGAGGTCTTGGGCCACTAGAGGAGCAGAGGTTGGCCACGGAGCTAAAACAGCCCTGCGGCGGTTACAGCTACGTAAACTCAGGCTGCTGCTAGGTGCTCCTTCAACTCTTCTCTCAGCTTGGGGAACTGGGATGGGCTTAGAGACAGCCATAATCCAGCTGAAATCAGGCAGCAGCTGGAGAGTAGTAGGCACATCCTCCTCCTTGGAAATCCCTGTACTTCACTTGGTTATCTAAGTCTCTCTCTCTCTCTCTCTCTCTCTGCCTCTCTCCCTCCCCCCTTCTGTTTGTCTATATTTTTCTGTTTCGGTGTCTGTCTCCTCCTCTTTCTCCTCCTCCTCAATTCCTCCCTCTCCCCACTAAGATCTGCTTTCTCTACTCCCCAGGCAGAAGACCCGATAAACAAACGAGGAAGATCAGCATTCGAGTCTGGCCCCCGGACGACGGGGCCCAAGGTCATCTACTTTCGAGTTTGTGGCAGGCTGGAGATGGTTAGTTGTCTACCCGTTGATAGGACAATACCCAGAGGTCTTTGTGACACAAAATAGGGACAAGGGAAGCTTTTCCTAAAGCCTGATTGAAAATAGCCACCTAAACCCTGCCCCTTTCTAGCTCCAGTTCCTCCCCCTATATGCCTTCCCTCAAAACAACAACAAAACCACAAAAAAATTCAAATATATACAAAACAAAAGAAACAAGCACAAATAAGCCTCCAGAGAAGAAAAAAGATGACTCCAAGCTTTCTTTCCCTCTCCGATCTTCCCCCACTTCTTCAATGAGAAATGCTGCCAGTCTAGAACCTTTACTCGCAGGAGAGCTACAAGGTCGGCTCTTGCCTGCAGATCCCCTGGCTAGCTCCAGGGGCGTTAGCCTCAGAAGCCAGGATTTTCGTCTTTTTTTTTTTTCTTTAAACCATGTTCATTTTCATTTCCAGAACCTGCCCAGGTCCTATCCATTAAAAGAGTCTGATTCCACAGTCTGTTGCGAGGGAAGGGAGGGGGTTCCCTAGAGCAGGGACAAACTGCGCTCCCCAGCTATGGAGACAGAACTCCCTCGGGAAGCGAGAACTGGTTAAGTTCGCTCACTGACACTTGTTGACTACATGCCTAACTTCCCCATGTCCCCCCCCCCCCCCCGCCAGGTTGCTCGTGGTAGGGCTTGCTTGCTTGCTAGCCCCCGCCCCCTTCTGTCTTTCTGATTTTTTCTTTCTTTCCTTTCTTCCTTCCTTCTTTTTTTTCCATCTTCCATCCTTTCTTCCTTCCTCTCTTTCTCTCTCTTTATTTTTTTCTCTCTCTCTTTCTTCCGCCGGCTCCCATTGCCAAGTGTACTACCACAGGGCTTGAGGTCGGATGGAGGGTGGCAGGCCACGAGTTTGCTTCTTCTGCGGTTAGAGATCAGGGACTTCAACGAGGAGATACTCCCTGTCTGATTCCCATTCTGTGCAGTTAAGTGGCGGAGAGCTACTGGTGCGTGAAAGTAGCCGATGAGAAACCCGTTAGGTTAAGAGGGAGCTGAGTGTTGAGCAAGCAATGAGGTAATTTCCTTTGTCTGCTTTTACCGGATGGTGCAGTCTTCAATGCCTTCCGATTTAAAGGGGCAAGGACAGAAACCAGAATCTACCGCTAACTAGCTTTAGGACAGTCTCCAGCAGGAGAGGAAAGGGGCCCAGAGACTGACTGTCCGACTGTGTGTGCTTGCTCTGCTCTGGCTGGCTTACAACAGTTCTCCAAGTGCAGGAGTGCCTACTTCAGCTTCCAAAAGGAGGTTGGTGAATGGAGGAAAAAAAAAAGAAGACATTCTCCTATTTGAGATAAAATAACTATTTCCTTTCTTGTGGGGGGGGGGGGGAGAAGGGGGGGGGGTCCTGAATATTTAGTGAGTCCTCATACTGAATGAGGACAATTATTATATTCTTCCTGCTCAGTCAATTTCTTTTGTTTTTTAAAAAGATCCAACTCATTAAATGCATTTCTAATGCAAAGGCAGATTCTTAATAACTTCCTTCAAATAACTTATTGTTCAGTTTTTCTCTGGACACTCTGCACGATGTAATTCAGCACAGGGATTAACTCTTAGAAGAATTTCGCTTGGTTTTAACAAGCCCGAAGCATTCCACTGTCAGGGCCCCCAAGAGCTTAGCAAATCTAACTCCACTACCAATCGATGCCCCAGTTGAGTTTTTAAAGCATGGGAGGCTATTGGACAGCTCAGGGCTTCTCCATTATAGTTCCCCCATTAAATGAAACATTTGTATTGAGTGTCTTACCATATAGAATTTTAAGGGTAGATGTTATAATCTGTTCTCCTCTTTGCTCCCTTGCCCTAACTCCCACTTTCTTCAACTTTCTCTCCAGCAACAAACCTGGATCTGGAGGAGCTTGCTTTTTTTTTTCCTTTTTTTTTTTTTCTCTTTCCTTTCAGGATGACCTTCAAATGTTGGAGAATGTTTCGGAAAGAAATGAGCCATTCTTGGTCATGTTTGAAGTTTGGCATTCCAGGCATCAGCAAGTGGCTTAAATGTCTCTTCCTTTACAAATTTATTTTTAGTGATTCATTTCTAAGGTTGTACAGAGATCTGGATGCAAATATAAAGAATTACTCAGCTGTTACTCACAAATAAACAGAGATTATGTCCTTGAAGCCAAGCGTTTTCCTCCTAACCTTTCAACACTGAGTTTGATATACTAATTACCTAGGGAAAGTCCTACCTTAAAGGGGGAGATATCCGAAATGGTTGGTCAATTAAAAGTATATATGCAATTAGGTCTTGGACCTGTAAAGCAGATTGTTGCAGGGTTTTGTCATACAATAAGGGCATCTTTGATTTTAGTTTTGGTTTAATGAGCCATTTAATTGTTCAATATGTCTATCAGTGCATGTATAATATGGATGTATGATATACATACATACATGTACAACATGTTTGTACATGTACACAACAATGTACATGTGCAAGGTGTATTCAAATCCACATATATGTATGTTCAATGTGCATTTGTGCTTAGTTTTGAGGGAACCCATGGGAAACTTTTGTAACTGCAAAGTCAATGAATATAAACATCACTGTAGAAGAGGGGTTCTCCGTGTCAAGGTTTAAATGTGCATGCACTATAATTGTACCCCTTGGAAAACTTGGAACATCTGCTCACCTGCGTATGTGAGTAACAAGGAGAGTCCACTTATTTGTCCCAGCAAAAATGACTGAAAAGGGAAAAAAGGGATTCAATATAACACATGCCCAGATATGTTTTTTTCTTAGAATGCTTTAAAACTGGGATACATCTTTGGCTTTTAAGTGACCAGTAGCCATCCTGTGGATTTTCCAAATTTCCCTAATCTTGGCAGGAAAGTTGGAATCACATGAACTGAAATCCAGTATGGAAAACTCAGAAAATAGTAACCAGAAATCTGTGTGATATAAATAGAAGAAATATTGCTGCTCTCAATATTTTCAGCACTTCAGATTTATTCAAAGATTGACAAGGAAAACCCTTCTTGAACAGGAATATTGAGCAGTGAGGTCCTATTGTCTCTATGCAGTTAGACAAGAGTTTGGATGGTTTACTTCTGAACTAAAAGGCCTTTTGACAATCTCAATAGCTAGAGATAAGGGGTTGAGTGCAGAGTGAATTCAGATACTACCTAAGGAGCTGGGTAAAAGAAGGTGGTATTCAAGTAACTTCCCCTGGTAGGTTAATACAGAGACTGTCAGGGTCAAAGGAAAATGGCGGGGGTGGGGGAATACCCTACAGTACCAAGCAAGCAGGTAGATGGGCCTTTATCTACTCTTCCCAATAATACAACCAAATAGCTGTAGCAAAAGCATGTGCACAATTAGGCAAAAGGTAACTCTTTGGCTACAAAATAGAACAGTTCATTTTCCTATTTGATTTCAAGAGAAAATTAGTTCTGGAGAGGCCTTTGAAGGGTCTACACAACAGTGGTGTATATTGGTGTCTGAGAATATGTATAATTTTTACACAGGTTGGGCCAACTAAAGTCCAAAGAAAGCAGAGTTTCTTTCAGATAAATAAACCTTGAGAAATTTTATGGAATACAAAACCTTGGAAGCCAGTCCTATGTGCTAAATGTTAAATTCTCTCATTTCTCTCTCTTTGTCTCTGATTCTCTGTCTCTGTGTCTGTTAGTCTCTCTTTGTCTGTCTGTCTGTCTGTCTGTCTGTCTGTCTGTCTGTCTGTCTCTCTCTCTCCCTCTCCCTCTCCCTCTCATAGTACAAACACAGTACTACCTCTCAGGGAATTTTTTTTAACATAGTTAAAGTGTATAGAACATTCAGTGATGCTACTTTTTTTCCGATCTTTTTAGTTCAAAATTGTTCTCCTGCACTGTTTTGCCCCAGTTAATGAATCTAGGATTCTACGAGTATAGAATTCAGAGCTGGAAAGGACCTAAGTTGTGAGTAACATATTTCTTTATAT